ATTATATATGGAGAATAGTGAATTTATATATACTGGAGTGGGTGAGATTATATATGGAGAATAGTGAATTTATATATACAGGGAAAGGTGAGATTGTATAGGGGAAATAGTGGCTATATATACAGAGGTGGGTGATATTATGTAGGAAAAATAGTGGATTTATACATTCAGGGCAGAAAGGAGATTATATAAAGGAAATAGTGGATTTATATATTTATATAGGGGTGGGTGAGATTATCTAGGGGAAATAGTGGACTTACTTATACGGGAAGAGAGGATATTATATAAGAGAAATAGTGATATATATATTGGGAGGTAAGAAGATTACATTGGACACATAGTACCATTATACATACAGGGAAGACAGGAGATAACATATGAGAAATAATAATATGACATGTAATTAGGTTAAATAGGAGAAATAGCGACAGTATATATATATCTACAAGGAATGTGTGAGGTTATATAGGGAAGATAGTGATTTTATATATACCGGGAAGAAAGGAGAATATATAAATTAAATAGCAACAATATAGATGAGTTTGAGTTTATATGGCGAGATAGTTACATATAGAGACAATGAATGAGTTTATATAGCGGGATAAGGATGTTACAAATAGAGGCAATGAATGAGTTTATATAGCGGGATAGTGATGTTACATATAGAGGCAATGAATGAGTTTATATAGCGGGATAGTGATGTTACATATAGAGGCAATGAATGAGTTTATATAGCGGGATAGTGATGTTACATATAGAGGCAATGAATGAGTTTATATAGCGGGATAGTGATGTTACATACAGAGACAATGAATGAGTTTATATAGCGGGATAGTGATGTTACATACAGAGGCAATGAATGAGTTTATATAGCGGGATAGTGATGTTACATATAGAGGCAATGAATGAGTTTATATAGCGGGATAGTGATGTTACATATAGAGGCAATGAATGAGTTTATATAGCGGGATAGTGATGTTACATACAGAGGCAATGAATGAGTATATAGCGGGATAGTGCTGTTACATATAGCGTCAATGAATGAGTTTATATAGCGGGATAGTGATGTTACATACAGAGGCAATGAATGAGTTTATATAGCGGGATAGTGATGTTACATACAGAGGCAATGAATGAGTTTATATAGCGGGATAGTGATGTTACATACAGAGGCAATGAATGAGTTTATATAGCGGGATAGTGATGTTACATACAGAGGCAATGAATGAGTTTATATAGCGGGATAGTGATGTTACATATAGTGGCAATGAATGAGTTTATATAGCGGGATAGTGATGTTACATACAGAGGCAATGAATGAGTTTATATAGCGGGATAGTGATGTTACATACAGAGGCAATGAATGAGTTTATATAGCGGGATAGTGATGTTACATACAGAGACAATGAATGAGTTTATATAGCGGGATAGTGATGTTACATACAGAGGCAATGAATGAGTTTATATAGCGGGATAGTGATGTTACATATAGAGGCAATGAATGAGTTTATATAGCGGGATAGTGATGTTACATATAGAGACAATGAATGAGTTTATATAGCGGGATAGTGATGTTACATATAGAGACAATGAATGAGTTTATATAGCGGGATAGTGATGTTACATATAGAGGCAATGAATGAGTTTATATAGCGGGATAGTGATGTTACATATAGAGGCAATGAATGAGTTTATATAGCGGGATAGTGATGTTACATACAGAGGCAATGAATGAGTTTATATAGCGGGAGAGTGATGTTACATATAGAGGCAATGAATGAGTTTATATAGCGGGATAGTGATGTTACATATAGAGACAATGAATGAGTTTATATAGCGGGATAGTGATGTTACATATAGAGACAATGAATGAGTTTATATAGCGGGATAGTGATGTTACATATAGAGGCAATGAATGAGTTTATATAGCGGGATAGTGATGTTACATGAGGCAATGAATGAGTTTATATAGCGGGATAGTGATGTTACATATAGAGGCAATGAATGAGTTTATATAGCGGGATAGTGATGTTACATATAGAGACAATGAATGAGTTTATATAGCGGGATAGTGATGTTACATATAGAGACAATGAATGAGATCATATAGCGGGATAGTGATGTTACTTGAGAGACAATGAATGAGTTTATATAGCGGGATAGTGATGTTACTTGAGAGACAATGAATGAGATCATATAGTGGAACTAGTGACATTATGTATACAGTAAAGGACTGACAATCTATAGGATGAATGATGACATTATACATACAGGAAAGAATGGAAATTTTAGGGAAAGTATTGGAATTATACACACAGGGAAGAAATGAGAAAAATATTTGATTATAAAGGTATAAGGATAAATGGAGGTGTAACATGAAGAAGGAGATAATATTATACAGGGTTCATTTTAAGAATATTAACTAAAAGTGTAGGATTATGTGAAGGAAATGAATCCTATAACATTAAGGGAAGTGTGTTATGTGGGAGCTGTTATTGGAAAATGGAACGCATTGTATCACTTCATAAACATGATTGCAAGGAGGAATTAGGTAACTACAGTCCAACGACATTCTGGTATCGATACCTATCTCCCAGAAAACACCTTGAGGTCTCATTAATGAAATGTAAGTCTAGGCTTCGCGGTCCTGATTTTATTCTTAGACCCAGAGGGCCTAATTGTTATGTTTTTTTAAATAATTTTTTCATTATTTCTAAAGAAGCCAATAAGAAAAGTGATGTTATAATGACTGGGGACAGTGATCGATCTTGAAGAGCCCACGTGATAACTGTAAGTAATATGATATGTTATTATTAAGTCATGTCAATTATTAGGTCAACTTTACCTTAATATCGATGCAGCCCAATGGAGAACTCTGGCCTATTATTATATTACATTACTAGTCACCAATTCCACAGATCAAAGATTGTGGAAAGAGCTTGCGAAACACTCCAGAGCTACTATGCATTATTAGTAACTCTTCAACAAACACCGTATGGACAGAGGAGAGAAGGCAGAATCATTAAAGATTCTACTCTTTAATAGGGGAGTCTGTGCAGCCCGTAAACTCATTTATTTTTTTATAAACTCCATAAATTAATGAATTACCTCATTCATTCAATCATTAATTAATTGATTAATTACTTATTTCATTCATTCATTCATTCATTCATTCATTCAGCATCACTTCAGGTTTCTTGAGGGATTAACTGAGCTAATTCCTGGCAGCTCTGCATAGATTGGGAATTTGTGTTTTCACCTGTGATGTTGGTAAATATTTCAAGTTTTAGCTCAGAAAGACCGTAGGTTTAAATGAGTTTTGCAGCACAGATCATAACAAATGTTTAGTGGATAAGGGTCACTATGAAATATTGTAACTCCTATTTCCTATTGTGATCTTATTTTAAATAGTTCACTAAATATATATTTCAGTCAATATACTGAATTAGACCATAGAAAGAAAGATATAATATTATAATTTAAGAGAGTCCCTGTATAATAATACAAATTCTCAAACAATAAACATGTAAACACCCACTTACATCAAGCACATAAACATGCCAATGTACACACAAACTCACACTCCACACACACACGCATTCACACATAGACAAACACACACCCACTTACATCACACACATAAACATGCCAATGTACACACAAACTCACACTCCACACACACATGCATGCACACACAGACAAATACACACACACTTACATCACACACATAAACATGCCAATATACACACAAACTCACACTCCACACACACAAATGCACACACAGACAAACACACACACACTTACATCACACACATAAACATGCCAATATACACACAAACTCACACTCCACACACACACGAATGCACACACAAACACACACACACTTACATCACACACATAAACATGCAAATATAAACACAAACTCACACTCCACACACACACACGCACACACAGACAAATACACACACACTTACATCACACACATAAACATGCCAATATACACACAAACTCACACTCCACACACACACAAATGCACACACAGACAAACACACACACACTTACATCACACACATAAACATGCCAATGTACACACAAACTCACACTCCACACACACACGCATGCACACACAGACAAACACACACACATCACACACATAAACATGCAAATATACACACAAACTCACACTCCACACACACGCATTCACACATAGACAAACAAACACACCCACTTACATCACACACATAAACATGCAAATATACACACAAACTCACACTCCACACACACATGCATGCACACACAGACAAACACACACTCTTACATCACACACATAAACATGCAAATATACACACAAACTCACACTCCACACACACATGCACGCACACACAGACAAACACACACACTTACATCACACACATAAACATGCAAATATACACACAAACTCACACTACACACACAAACACACACAATTACAGCATATTCACAAAGATGTGAAATTAATATATATATTATCATCTTTTTTTTTTTTTACAACATTCTCAAATTGCATCAGAAAATTCTGTATCTTATAGTAGCAGTTTCTAGGATGTCTTTGTTACTATGAGTAGAACATGACATTATTCTAATGGATAGATACCTTGTTACAATCTAGTGTAACTCCTAGCAAAAGTCACACAAAATAAATTCCATTTGTAATGTTTTTCTATGTTAATTGCTTCACGGATGCCGCATCCTGAAGAAGGATCATGTGTGATCATACTATAATACGATTATTGTATGAAGGCAGCATGCCGGTCATTGGGGATTAAATGGTGATGTGATTGCTGAAGGGAATTAAGAATGGCAGCATTGTAGTGTCACCCTAACATGTACAATAGAAAGGCAACAGCTGGTCCCAAGATATTGTTTATTGTAACATCATATCATGCCAGTTACACATCGGTCTTATTTTCATTACACCATCAGACACAGTATGCTCGGAGATCTCTTCCAGAGATGCCTTTGTCTGTCCTCAGATGCTTTTTGGGGTAAGGGCTTTCTGAAATAGGGATTTTATAGACCCAGAAAGCCCAGACCGCAAAAAGATCTGAGGAAAACCTGATGATCTTCTCTCTTCTTCCAGCCTGTGTAGGTGGAACTGATGCAGATCTGAGGACGATTCAGTTCTCCCATCTCAGCAGATGCTTAGTCATTTTGAAGGGACTATGCACAGTCAAGGCTGATACTTCGAGTGGTGGTCCATCTTCTTCTAGGCTATTTTTAGCATGCCATCCATTTATTTACTGCACCTACCCATCAATGGCAGTCTGCTCCACCCCATCTAGCCTGCTATAAATCTCTGTCCTGGTCAGATATTAAATTGGGAAATTTCCAAAACAGCACCCAAGCTAAAGCAATGTGTAAACCCTTAATAGTCCAATGACTACCCTCTAGTCCAAAATAATAAGAAGCTTCACCATCCAACATTATGGCAAGAGACCTGGTTTACAATCCAGCTCATTTTCCCAATCATTAGCCTGGTTTTCCATTGACAACCTAAATACAAATAATGATCTTATCTGCCATGTACTCAAATGTGCAAGTCCAATGCACATCCTATAAAGAGCTAACCCAGAAATCTGTTTACGAAGCACTGATGGTCATATCACATTGAGCTTCATTTGCTAGAAAACAAAAAAAAATTCACAGGTTCAAAATATGGCCAGTCAATAAATGTCCTTTATTAAGGCTGAAGGTTCAGGTTTCAAAATGGACTTGCTCATTGGGAATTGACACCCCTCTAATATGTATTCAGTTAAATGTAAACAAGGATTGAGATCCAATCTTTACAAAGACACGAAGTAGCAAATGTTCCTTCCCTCAAATTGTTTTCCCCGCAAAAAAAGTGTTCTCCTTAGCTTTTCTGCTTTAGCACCTTTGCCCTAAGAAAATTAGCATCCATGATAGAATGATTGCTTAATGATCAATAATTCTACTTTATAATGTTTTTTTCGCAATTCAATTTCAACTGTAAGATCAGGAGATACAAACAGTGGAAATGTTCCTTCAGCATCAATCCAAATATTGAATAGCATGTGATATGTATCACTGTCTTTCTAGAAATGCTTCCAGCCTGGATGTGCAGCTCTTCGTAAATAGATTTGTTGTGATATTTGAGTATATTGTCAGTGATTTTCATGAGATGTGGTATATGCACTGCTTCCTGCATATTTCATTGTCGTTTTTTTTCTCCCTACACAATCATTGCAGTGATATTGAGTTTTCAGAATATAATATAACGAAGCAATAGAGAAAATAAAAAATAAAATGCCTACATTTTTTGTGAACCCCAAACTGCTTTACTCAATCACTCCGATAAATTTTAGCAAGTTACACCGACCATTTTCAAAAGACACCAGAGCTTATATTGTTTGTGTTCAGCACAATCTAAGCACAGCAATGTTTGGGATCAAAAAGCTCCAAATGAATATAAGGACATATCATTCACCTCGCCCCCCCAATATCCAGTGATTAGCCCATTCATTCATTCCCTGTCATGTTAATAAACCCTCCCCAATTCACAGTCACTAGGTAAATATAGCGTTCAACATCTGAATAATAAAATCAATAATCAATAAGGTACATGACGCGTGATATAAAACACCCAAAACATACAACCTAACATACACCAATACCATATGTATATGGCAGCCTTGAAAGCACATTCACACAGTTGAAAAGACTCACAGGGTTTTAGGGTGCAGTCCACAGGTAGAGGGGAGACTGGATTTTCTGCTCACAGAGCTCCGTCTCTCTCCAAGCTCAGGGAGGGAATGAGAAAGCTTCCCATCCTGTCTCTGATTGCTTTTCAAAGTCACGAATTGTGAGGGAAACTCCAGCTCAGCTCATGACGCATCTGAGAGCAGTCACGACCAAACTGCTCCCCCCTCCCCTCCTCTCTCCTGCTGTCTGCCATAGAATACAGAACATCTCAGCATTCCAGCCTGGGGACAGCTCCCATCAGAAATCACAGGGATCTGCTCATTAATTAGCAATCAGAGAATTATTCCCTCCTAGAATACAATGTATTTCAGCACCCAGTCTAGGGATAGCTCCCAAAATTAACACCCCCCCCCCCCAATTGATCTGGGTATTAAACAGCAATCAATAGCTTATTCATACTGTAAATACTGCATTTCAGCACCACATCTTGGGTGAGATCCCATCATATACCCCAGGGATCTGCTCATTAATTAGCAATCAGGGAATTATTCTCTTCTAGAATACATTATATTTCAGCACCCAGTCTAGGGATAGCTCCCAAAATTACCCCCACCCCCCCTTGATCTGTATATTAATTGCCATTCAATAGCTTATTTTAGACTGTAAAAACTATATTTCAGCACCCAGTCTTGGGTGAGATCCCATCATATACCCAGCGGTCGGCATATTAAACAGCACTCACTTGCTTATTCTCACATAAAATATATAGTACAGATCCCACCTCATACAGGGATCTGATCATTAAACTGCAATTAGGGTTTATTCTCCCAGCTTACAACATTTCAGCAACAAATCTAGGGACAGACCAAATATACCCAGAGATCAGCAAATAATAGCTTATTCCCCCATACAAAATTATTTAGGGACAGCTCCCATCAGTCCCCAAGAGATCTCACTATTACAATGTGATCTGACACTCACTTTCTTGAAATGCACAACAATTCAACAACTAGACATGGACTGCTTTCAGAACACACCCCAGAGGTTTGCTAATTATTGAATAATTATTTGTTTGTAGTTACAGGAAACACAACAGTTCAGCATCCAGTCTCGGGAGAGCTCCAGTTGGAAATCCCATGGAACTGGTCATTACACTGCATCAGTAGCTTATTCTGACAGAGAATATAGGACATTTCAGAACCCAGCCTAAGGACAGCTAGCACTTACACCTGTGTGAATCAGGGGGTTATTCTAACAGAAGACAGCCTACGTTTCAGCACCCAAAGTGTGGACAGCTTCCATCTGAAATAACAGGGGAACAGGGACCTGTTCTATCATTAAATATACATAACTTCAGCACCAAGGCAGGGGACGGCTCCCATCACTAATCTAATGGCCTGCTCATTTATAAGCAAACAGGGGCATTGACTTTTATTGATTACATCAATTGAGCACCCATTCTATGCACCAAACTCATTCAGGGTCTAGTTCTCTACTAGTACAGAGCAGGGACTGCAATACCAAACACTAGTAAAATAGTAAAACATCATGTCTATGTTTTGGGCAATGTGCAATTTGTCCTTCATCACCCCAATCCCTCCGACACCCTTACGTTCTTTGATTAAATCCTTTATTATTCCACATTCCTGTAAGCTTTTTCCTGCATTAAAACACCATAAATTGAATCGACTTATCTCAATTGCTGAGGTTTTCAGTTATTTTCTGTCCCCCACCCCCGGTTCTCTTGTAAGGATGCAGTAACTAGCTGTATCTATAGTCTCAGGAAGGTTATAAAAACCACCCCTTACAAATTAGTGTTCACCAGGAGTACGAGCTATTTCTGTTCTCTAAAACTATTTTTAGCTCTTACTGCAGAGCTCCAAGGCTTGAGGAAGGGGGGGGGGGATCTCAAATTCATCTGAAGATCAGTGCCTGCTTCAAAACACAGACTCGACTCAACTACAACAAACAGAAAGATGTATGAATGATTCCTAATGAGAATCATATCCCATGCTACTAGCTACTTAATTACAAATAGTGCTTTATGAATTTTACAGTCTACAGCCTTCTAATAAATATTTGATTAAATCTCATAAATCAGTTCCAAGCTTAGTGAGTTGTTCATTCATTGTAAGAGATTCTGACTAACGCCCTATCTGTGCCCAGCAAATGTCCATTAATATGCCCCCTCTCTATGGGGCACAAGAGTTTCCCCTGGTCAGGGCTTTTGCCTACCATTGTGCTATGCTTGCCTTATAGAGATTCATGTGTATTGCCCTATGGAATCCCATTTATTTTGTTAATTATCTTCCCTTTGTATTAACACGCTCATATCTTGCCTTTATCTGGCCACTGAGAATTAAAACAAATTGCCGTCTGATCTCATATCATTATATGAGGGTGGGTTTGAATCTATGGCGAATGCACTAAGAATAACCAAAAACTCTGCGGTATACACTGCGGGGCAAGTATATAAAAACATGCAAAGGAAACACAAACAATATGTTTATATATATACGTTTACATTTATAAATGTTTATAAACATTAACATGAACCTCTTTCGAGGCTACCTAAGCATTGTTACCATTATATAAAATATGGGGATTTGGTTACACCAGATGACCATAGAGAGTTCAACACACCTACGTATAAAAACATTACAAAATCAGTGGGTACTTACCTAAGTTAACATAGTGGATATCACACCACTGACTCCATTTAACTCTGTAATATTCACTAAAAAAGAAGCTGAATGTCAGTGAATTGAACAGTGAATTATACAATTGATACGAATAATCAAACTGTGACTATAAATGAGAATGAGAATTTCTCAAAATCACCTGCTTTGGCCGAACCTAGGAATTGTAGGAAATTTACCGTGAAATGTAGGCTGAAATATACAATTTGAAGCCTTTTTCCATTCATTTGTTATTCCTGCACATTTCCTTTTACCTGAAATTTAACACAATGCGAACATACACACACACTGACACACGATTACACAACTGCTAAACAATGACACACAATAACACAGGGCTGTATACTGACACAAAATTACACACACTGATACAGCTTGACACAAACTAACAAACACAAACTACACACACACACACACCTGTGTTCATTAAAATATTAGAAATATGAAGAAAATGAATGCCATATTTTAAATTTTAAGTAAGGAATAAACCAATGAAAATATACATTTTCTAAGGAAAATCAAGTGAGTGCAGTTTATAATAAAAAAAAGCCTGAGCAGGTGAATGTGATTCTATTTAAAACCGTGAACTGTGGACGCAGAGATTAATAGGACAGGGCTATAAATGGCTAGCGCGTTTTTTGGGGACAAGGTGAGTGCGATGTGACATTGAAGAAAACCCAGAATGGAGTTTGTGATTGTTCTTCAATGATTTCCATCCCCCCAGCTGCTCGAAGCCTCGCCAGTGCCTCTGTGATCTCAATTGACGTCAGTGCATCATTAGGTTCCCTAGCAACATGGACTAAATATAAATAGCAACACATTAATGCAAAGAGCTCTGGGTGGCGACAATGTTACAAGTGGGGAGAAGCCAGGAGACTAGTGGGCTTCTACATACTGTTACACACTGACACACAATTACACAACTGCTAAACAACAGCACAAAATAACACAGGGCTTCACACTGACACAAAATTACACACACTGATACAGCCTGACA